AATAAAACGGCGTCTTTGAGTATTAAGTATTAGACACTTAAACGAGCTGGCAACGTTCTGTCGAACATGTCACTCGAACTTGTACTAAAAGCAGTGATAGGTCACTAATTATCTCATTCGCACTGTTCCTACTGAATTATAAGAAAAGTACTACATATAGTAGTAGTAGGATAGTCTCGCGTCTTTGGGTACGCAACGCAGACAGTTCCTAGTTTATACTGAATTAGAAACACCCATGAACTATTCTGCCGTCCGCTATCTAAAACGTGGCTATGTGAGAAAATATTTTTTGCGATTTCATAATAATGTAAAAACAGAACCGAGTTTTTAGAAAATTAAAATTGTGTTTAATTATATGGGTATAATGGGGCTATGGTGGGGTCGGGCTCGGCCTGCGGCGCGTGATCGGTTTCAGATTACGGGGTGTGCTTATGCTCTTCGTTGGCACAGTGATTAAGTACTATGGGCGCTTGATGAGGAAGTTCCAGGTTCGATCCCTGATTTGAACCAAAAAAATATTTTTAAATTGGTTCTGGTCAGGGTATTCTGGGTATTACCCTCAGAATTATCGTTACTCTGGTACTTATAGTACAGGAAATTCCCTACTTTGAAATCATAAATTTGGAGTGATTGTCTGGAATTTTTTCCTTAAACTTCTCTTTTTGGCATAGCTTCCAAAAAAAAAAAGACGTAACAGAGAGACGGCCGAGATACAACAACGCTATATATTATCTTATTTCCACTACATCGGGAAATATGCCTTACATTTTGAACAATTGTGAAATCTTGTACCGTAATAGAGTCTCCGTATACTACCTACATAAAGTGGCGTGCGGACGCTTCGGGCTTCGCCCTCCGCTACACCTCGGCCTTTTTTTTACGGGGGGAAAATCTTTATAGATACTCCTGAGCCCAGGGAGACTCAGGGGCTATGTGGGGACTCTCCCTCCAGACTGGAGGGCCTACCCCACTAAAACCCCCCAGGTTTACCTCTCGCCGGTTGAGTCGGCGCCGTGGGATCGGTGCACATTTACCAAGACCGCTACACCTCGGCCTACGGCCGTAAAAAGTGAAAAGTAAATTTTGACTGCAATTTTTATTATTTTTAAACATTAATTACTTTATTTATTATTAAACACCCATAAACTTCCCTACATGCCGATTTTCAATAGAATTAGAGTAACTTTTCATCTGCCGCCAAAAAACACTTCTATGACAGCCATATTGAAAAATTGAAAAACAAATTTTGATCACAAATTATTATCAAGCATTCCTAGAGACACCCCCCATATGCCAATTTTCAAAGGGATCTGGGCAATTTTTTTCTGCCGCCAACGAACGCTTCTGTGACGCCCATATTTGAACATGGCGAAAAACAAATTTTGGGCACAAATTATTCGGCATTTCTAGTGGCCTTCACATGCCAATTTTCAGTCGAATCAGAGCAAATCTCTTTCGGCAGCTCTTTTTAACGAAGAAAAACACTTACATGTTATAAAGCTGCTAAATGCTGACCATATTAAAAAATGACGAAAAGAAATTTTTGACACCAAATTATGATTAAGGACTCCTAGATACCCTCGCATGCCAATTTCCAGCCGGATCGAAGCAAGTTTTTCTTCGGCCTCCATTTTGAAATCGCCATCTTGATTTTTTTTTAACCCAGTCAGTTGACCAGTGTTACCCTCTATGACATTTCTTCGAGCACCTCCTACCTATATCTAATAGTTTCCGTGATAGGAGACTTTGAAATTTGTATATCTTGTTAATTTGACTTTCGAACATTTTTTACTTCCCACGGACATTGACCATAACAGTGTATCTCACAAAAATCCCCCCCATATATTATAGTTTTTGCAGGCCGTTGATCACTCGTTTACATTTTCCACATTCAGGTCTCCTCATATTCGATTATTTGCCTTGGAGCTTATCCGCGTACAACGGTATAAATATGTTTTTTCCACCATATCGGGAAGTGTGCGTTTTATTTTTCTAAGTGAGTCAGGATTTGTAGCTTTAAATATATAATAATTGCATCATTTGTGTAAGTTCCGATGTGTCGGACACCTTAACTGAACTGTTTATAAATAGATAATATTGAGCTCTATCCTATGCTATTTAAAACGGATATTTGACCACTTGTCACTTGACCGCGTTCTAGCTAGTGGATGGCAAGTATTGAGATCGTGCAAGAGAACTAATTTCTCGCTTCAGTCATTGTCGGGAATTCATTCCTACTTGCTGAACTACTCAAGCTTAGTCTCTAAGCTCTACAAAGTGACGTAATGGCGACATCTTGACATTTCCCCTGTTCTCCCAATATGCCCTATTAATACCTGAGCATGCACGTGAAAGCGCACGTCATTTAATAATAGTATTTTGGCAACAGACTGAAAACACGTGCTTCATTACTACGTTTAAAAATAATTGACTCATTCAGTGGTCACGCCATGACGCGACTACGCTATAGTAACAATAAAATTTCGGTTTAAAGCAGTTTGTGCTGTTGCCATTGGCCATGAGCGTGTCTTGTCTGACCAGCCGAACTGCCAGACATGTGCCTAAAAATTAAATGACTTGTCGCACAAATTTTGTCTGACGCGCGTGTCCGCTTGCGTGCGTAAGTCCGTTTTATTTAGGACTTTGGAGCGTTCGAGAACTACCGCTCAACTTGTACGAAATTAGATTACCATCTTTTAATTTGTCTTTTTTAGGTCTGTAATTTGATAATAACTTACTGTGCAGTTTTATACATTTAATTGTACTTCATCCCTATTGTATATGAAGGTTTTTCATATACACCGTCTCCTTTGTAATGAATTATTAAACAATAAACATTACACAATTAAACAATAAGCAAAGGATACGCAAACTTATTCACAGTACATTATTAATACACTTTCTTTTTACCTAGCTAATAATGTAATCTACTCTCTTATAGGTAATAAACAGTTGTCATGTTGCCCCTTTCGTACGCATTGACTTAATAAATTGACACAAATAGTTTATCAACGAGGCGTTGTACATGTTTATGATGCAAAGTAAAATTTAATATAGACAAGACATGCTCGTCTAGGAACAAAAAAGTTAAAAGTTTCTTATTTCATAACTGGTTACAGTCAAACGTAATCGCATTAACAAACGCGCATGCACAAACATAAATCACCCAATTTTAACATTCCACATTACATGTTCAGTCACCTTGAAAATCCCAAAATGGGCCCAACGGCCCACAGGTGGGGTCGACAGTTCTAGCCAACGGGTTTCGATTTTCCATCAGATATTCCTGTTTAACCTTTCTGGAGATTATAAATGCGGTCGCCAGAGCCCGAGGGGTGGCAACCTTGTCTTTTAACTATTTATGTCGGTCGTAGGTGGGGGCGGGCGCAGGACGCATGCGCGGCACGGTTCTTATGTAATCGGGGCCACGCCGCTGCCGTGCCGCATGTCTGCTCCTGCATTCCTGGCCGACACCATATGAATATTTCATGATCTCATTGTCCATATTTATGGTCTCTATGATACTAATTAAATCCCAGGCGAGTTGGAACCTTCTACCAAGTGTCAGCATCAATTATTCACTCCGGCCGCACCGCGCTTGTGAAAGCTAATTCATAAGCTTTTGCGCCCGCATAATGAAATGGTCCTTCATTTTCAGTTTGGTGATTACTTACTCCTTTGGCACGTAGACTCTGTTTCTATCTCTTTCATAACGACTCGATGTTCCTTTTTATCTGTATGTACTCTTCAGCCTTGACCCCTTTCTAAAACTTAAATTTGACGCCGTTTTCCTTTGTTCCTACAACATACAATGAAAATATCTTTCAACCTTTTGCAAGGAATGCTCGCCCGTGTATGTTGCATGATATACATTAATGAAGCAACTCTGCATCGATACTACACCAGGCGGTTTTTTCTAGCCGGTCTTTCTGCGCTGTTCCATAGCTCCAATGTGCCAGTTATTGATAGCCTTCACGGGAATTCAGGGCGTTGTTTAATGAGCGACCACGAAGCGATCGTCAATTATCGAGCGTTGTTTACCGCGGACGCATTTAGCCGCAGTGACATTAGCCTGCACAGTGCTTACATAATGAACCACTACGTTCCACATCGGACCGTCTGCATCAAGTCATTCTGAATCTTAATGCTCGTATTATATAAATAAACGACACCCATGTACAGAGCTAATCTTATACTATGCGTTATTTTGATGACTACATCTTACAAATGGCGTTTTCACATGATGATAAAATATCATCTGGCTCTTTCAAAACGTAGAGTAACGATCGTAATTTACTTAGCGATTACATAGTTACCTACGTATTTACTCTAATATTTCCTATTTTAGCAAATATGTCGTATTAATTATGTAGATAAAACATGCGCCTCAGTGCACAGTGTCCTTACAACGACGCTCAGATTCGCACACGCATCGTAGCCCAGATCAATTGAGCGCCATTGAGTTCCCCTGTAGATATACGTACGGCAAGGTTAAAGCGCACGCTCTGCGACCGTGTGCGGATCACTTAGCACAAAGGCTTTTCAGCCATTTATACTATTTTGTAAAACTAGTCTTATATAAGAGCATCCTGCTGTTAATAAGATTCAATGAACGCATTTCGCATTGTAGCAAATAGATACGAACATCTGCCAATCTTTATTTCAATGTTTATGTTTGGAATAACGGAACTGTGTTTCATATCGTAAAGTCTATTTACTAGTTCATAAACTTTCTAAAGACCATAAAGCGTAGTGAAACACAGTTTCTTAGCACAATGTTTTACATGTTTATTTATTTGACCGCTGGTTACACATGATTTTAAAATCGAACTTTTTCATTTCACTATTACTCTCTAAAACAATATTTTTGGAAAGCATTTCTAAGAGTATAAGGTAGTGTAGCAGAATCATGTGTAATCATTTGTCACCATCCACAATCCATGTGCATGGCCCCTAGGGCCGCCTTGTAGAATGTGTCTAGCTCCTAGTTATGTTTGCAGCATGGACGTTCTGACTCGTACCGCGTCGCCACCATCGGCCCCATTAAGGACGATAATAGAACCGCTGACGGACAGTATAAGGTTTATATTTTACCATTTTCATCTGATCCCGACGAGTGATGACTGACGTCACCAATTAAATATAAAATACCTCACAAATTTGAAGATGGACTTAGGTGCTATTAGAGCCTGTATGTTAACACTCTATAACACAAAAAGTGTACACAGAATCACTGAGAATTATGTATGTGTTAAAAATTGTCGACAAAATGTCAGTTATCACTCCTTCGCATGTTTAATAAATATTGCATACCCCATTTGTACCATTGTTATACGCTGATGCATGTTTACATCAAGTATCTTTTTTAATATAAAAATGTTGATACAATTTTGGTGTTATAAATAATGTTAAATGAAGAATTAAAAATCTTTATTACGCATTACAGACACGCCGGAAACCCCCCGCGAAAAAACGGAAAACAGGAGATTTAGACGATCTCAAACAGGAGTTGGACATCGACTATCACAAAGTCACGCCTGAGGAACTCTACCAAAGATTTCAAACACACCCAGAAAATGTAAGTTTTTTATCGCTTTCGCATTGAATTGGATTCATAACTTTACTCTTTGTTATTGGGATAATATAATACGTGTGCAGTTTAATACACTCCTGTATTAGAACGAATGATTGAGAGATAAATAGTATAGTATGTTATGTAGAAGTCGTTGTAGCACCCTCAATGATAAAGTGATATAATACTAAAATAGCATTTTAAAAAAGTGACGCAAGTCACAGAACATACTGCTAAAGGGGCTCAACCCGAGGCCCTCACAAGAATCTCAATAAACTCCTGGGTCTGCTAAAAATTTTGGAGAGCGACCTCGGCACCCTGTAGATGGCACACAAGCATAAACACATGAAGCATAAACGGCTGTCAGTGATACTAATTTAAAAAGGTGTTTATTATATGGATGCCTGGCCCGTTTGGGCGACAGTCAATATTGTTTTTAAGATTGACACTTTGACTGTTTTTGTCGTCAATCGCATTGAGTTAAATTTAAATCTTAAAAGTCAAACTTGACAAGCCCATGTACGTGACACCAGCCAAATACGAAAATTCTTTTTTATATTAGTGTTATTTTGTACGTTATTATATACTCCTTTTTAAATCTATTTGCTATTCCACTTATCGTTGTGAGTGAAAACCTCGCATTTGGATTTTCACATTGTTCGTTTTTACCTATTTTTGTTGAGAAATAACTTATAAACAGTATCTGAAAGAGGTATAATTTAACTAATTAAAAAGCTAACTAGAAACATTATTGCGTTTACTCATCGAGTATATAACCAGAAATAGAGACGAAATGTCATTTAATTTGTTTAAAAACTATTCTGCCAAATCCTTATGGTGACGACTGCGCTCCTATTGGCCAGCCCGAATTCGGAACAATTGACGGGTGTCATTAATTGTTTCACTACAAATCGACCAGTTTAACTTGAGCGTTGCTATAATGAACGAAAATTGAAAAATTACATATTTAATATTTAATTACTCGATGCTTTTACTACATTTTACAGCACATTTTTATCTTCGTCCTGATTGAAAGATTAATCAGAAATCACATACGAGGTTTTCACTCGAAGTTGACGTTATGGAGAGCAATGAAATTGTTGAGTATTGAGTATTTTGTAACTTCCCAAAAATTTTACGTTTGGAACTTCGTCGCTTTATTATTGAGCGTGTTATATATATCCAATAGGTTATTTGATATGTAGGTATCAATAAATAAATGTTATTCATTTACACAAAAAAAGATATTCAAACTCTTATCAATTCGCATGTGACCAAGTGCGAAGCCAGAACCAAAATTCTTGAAAATAAAGTAGTTAGTAGTACTAATTTAGACATGAAAAGTTAAAACGAAAAGGCAAAAGTTTATACATGTTAAAAAAAGTTAGATCACTTCACCAATGATTTTAAACATTATGTACACACGCCAGCACATCAAGCTACACATTGACGTATCTTGTTCCGTTGCACTGGAGACGATTTTCGAACAAAAATGTGTAGTCTGGTGTGCCGTTTAGGTGTGCATGCTTCATCGACACCTTTCTTTCCATCAGATAAGATAGAGGTCAAATACGCAGTTATTTTTTCAAAAATAAAATTATATATCTGGTATTAAAGTTAACTTCAGACATTTCTTCAACTTGTTCATATGAATTGATTGATACATTAAAAAAATATATGACTAAAACAAATGTAGACGTAACATAGTCGTATATTACGTATAATTTATAGGAGAAACAAAATATATTTTAAACATCACTGCTGTCACTCATAATTTTCAACGCGTTCAGAGTTGCTAACATATATACTGTATTTTGACCCCACAAATTTTAAGCTCTTATTGTTACTAATATGTAATAGTATTTTATGCAATCGTTTGCATAATTACCGAATAATGATTGCTTACAATACTTTTTCTACGAGTAAATAAAATTATGAAACAGAATCAATAATTAATGTATATTTTGTTAGCAATCCATGACAACGCATTTTAACCAAACTTTAACCCATTTATTAGGGTAGGCAAAGGTTTCACCATACAGCCTCTTCATATATTTAGACATAAGCCAAACAAACGCTACTAAACAAAAAACCAGAGATATGGAACTGGCCAAGTACCGCATATATTTTAAACAATGATTTTTATTTTCACTTATGGCCCGGTTACAACTTTTAGGCCAATTTAACCAATCAGGAGGCAGGATAGCGTTTGAATTGCGTTTTAATTGATATTTAATTATCAAAAAACGACATTCTTTTTATTCTTTTTTTAAAACTCATTATAGTTCTGTGTACAAAACTTTATTAAAAATTTTCAGCAGTGGCGATTACCATAGACAATAGAATTTTGAACTAGAAAGAAGTTCAAAAGTTCAGAACTAAAAAAGCACCTTAAAGATATGATTTAAGAAATTATAATTGATAGATTAAAATACAGGAGTAGAACCTAGAAATAATATTGATATATCGTCGTCTTAGAGTGAAAACCTCGTATGTTATTTCTATGTCATTTTTGAAGACGAAGATAAAAAGTGGTGTAAAATGTAGTAAACGCAATAATATTTGTAGTTAGCATTTTAATTACTTAAATTATACTTCTTTCAGATATTACATTACTTTAATAATATATTTGAGCAAGAAGTTTATAAATTTTATATCAACAAAAATCAGTAAAAACTAACTATATGAAAACGCATATAAGGAGGTTTTCACTCGGCTTCTTAAAAAAGGAACTCTTTGGCTGTAGAATACAGTTTGTTTCATCTGACTGTTACATGTTTTTACATTGTGGCGTCATTTTAGAAATTGGTTGTCTACATCACCATGGATTTAACTCGTGAAAATTTTCGTAGTATGATTTTCTACGACTTTAAATGTAATGTAACAGCTCAGCGGAGCTTCGCTCGGCTTCAAACTGTTTTTGGCGATGAAGCACCATGCAAGACGACTATTTATAACCATGCCATGCTTACCAGATTCAACGAAGGTGCGTCAAATTTGGTGTGGGACATAGTAATAGGTGACGAAACATGAATTTATAGTTATGATCCCAAAACAAAGCAGTAATCGAGCGTATGGGTCTTTCGAGATGAGCCGAAACCAACCAAAGTAGCGCGCGTGCAAAGTGCTTCTAAGCGGATGATTGCTTCTTTTTTAAATAAAACTGGACACGTGGCTACTGTTGCTTTGGAGAATCGTTGTACGGTGAATAGTAATTGGTACACGACCATTTGTTTGCTGGAAGTTATTGACAAACTCCGTAAAAATAACCGTAAACGCCGTATCATCTTGCACCACGATAATGCCAGTTCTCACACGGCCAGACAGACAAATGAATTTTTTAAGGTGAACAACGTTGACTTTATGAGCCATCCCGCGTACAGTCCCGGCCTGGCACCTTGTGACCTTTATTTATTTCGAAAAATTAAGAACCAGTTACGCGGTCAACCATTTTCATCACCTGAAGAGGCTGTCGTATGAAAAATATGTTTCAGAGATTGTCACGGAGGTGTGACATAAATGTTTTCAAAAGTGGTTCATTCGTATGAAAAAATGCATTAACGCTAACGGAGAATATTTTGAGAAACAATAAATTCATTTCTGACCATTTATAGTATTTTTTTTTATTCATTCCGGAAACTTATAGTGCGCCTCACGTATATATATAGTATAATCGACACAAAATCATCACAAGGACGTACCTTTGAGGGAAAATACATTCATTTTGTTAGAATGATAATGCATTTAATGAAAGAAAGAACGTAATAATCTAAATTGGTTGTAAATTTCTGTTATCTCTTCTACCGTGTACTTCTGGATTCGTGCCAGTTACTGTTTAAAGTGGTCTTATCTCTTTTGGCGACTATTTTCATTTGTATTTTCGGTCTCGTAATGTAAGAGCTGTGCGCTCAACAGCTGATGGAGTAAATTAATTTACACTGTTCTTTAAAATTAATTTCTGTTATTTAGTCAACAAAATAATGATTTTAATTTTATACTTGTTTAGTGATGAATATCATCATAGGCCTGCTATGATAATGTCAGACCGTTAAAGCAGTATTCGCGATATATTACACTGTTCTAATGATATGCGTTCCCACTCCCAGGTAACAACGTTTTATTTTCAATTTTAACCGTTCTACGCCAAGGTTAGCAATGTGAGCACTAGGTGAGGAGGTCTCGAGGTTCGATCCCAGCTAGGACCAATTTGTATATTGTATACCCAATGTCTGTCTTTTTTTAAGACGGAGTAAAATGACATTTGTAAGATTGCCAGTTTTCATGATATTTTAAATAGTCATGTGGTTGTTATCGATAGTTTTATCGATAGATTGTGAAAGAAGGTAACGTATTACCAAAAATGTCTGAATTGTGAATGTTACGACTTTCTAATGATTTCTAATTACGTTATTGCCTTCGTCATTCTTGTTTTGACAGCTGGCCTACTACTATCAAAATTAATTTTTATTCATATGCGTTTTAACAAGAACATGCAGATTTGATTATATACGTATATTGAATTAAAATGAAAGGTTTTAAATGTCTCCTTTTTGTATTTTTAATAGATATAGTTCTAAATGCAGTGTATGTATGAGCTTACAAAAATTGACAATTCAAATGAACCTGTGCCGAATAATGGACCGATGATGATTTAAATGAAACAAATTCGACTTCGCAATGAACTGTCATTTTACTCTATCTTCAAAAAGGACAGACTATAATTTTGCGCATTTAAATCGCGTTTTATCAAACAAACAGTCAGTCGTGACCATGGGACCTGGGGGCCTACCATAACTTTTCCAAAAACAATTTTATTTCAATGTAAGCTTAAAGTAAGCTTATTGTAATATTACTCAGATTCGTACCATGACAACCTGTCAGACAAGTATTATTGCAAAAGTGATTGAAAGAACGAATGATTTCCCAATATTGTCTATTCCTGACTAAAAATAGGAAAGAGATAACGCTATGTGAACTATATAATGGAATCTCTTTCTTTTTTTATGTTTCGAATCGTCTGATCGTAGTGTAATGTTTAAGTACTTAACGTTATTTACATTCAGAGAATTTTGACTGTTAATAAAAGAAAAGTATGTAATAATAAAATGTATTAAAATTACGTTGTTTTCAATAATTATTCCGCATTTTCATGTAGAAAATTATATAAAACAAGCTGAGTCTTGATAGTCACGTTGTGAGTTCGGAACTATAGTCTAGTGTCAACTGTTAGTTTCGCCAAGAAGCATATAGATGGCGCTGCTATAATTTAGCGAAATAAACATCGCGGATTCTTATTTAACGAAAAATTATTTACTATGTGCTATTAAATAAAAAAATAAACAAAGTATTGGAGAGATATATGTAAATAAATAAGTTCAACTTCACTTTTAATCATTACAAATCAATATTAAGACAATAAAACTGAAAATAATACTGTTTCCATTGCATCCGTGTAACTATTTTAAGATTGCTAAAGTTGACATAAGAGCAATACCTATTACTTTAATGTTAAAGACGCGTCATAGTACGATCTGAGTGAATGAATAGTCACAAAGCTGCCAATAAAAAATCATAGTTTTAACATTACAAAAAGCTTACTTTAAGCGCGTTATGGTACGAAAAGTCAATGTAAGGTTAAAGTAATATTGTTTTAAGAGGTTGTGGTAGGCCCCCTGCATTTTGATTGCCTCTCCCGATCGGAAACTGCGTCTTTTCCCAGTCGAGGCGTATAATATTGCGGATGGGCTACCCGATCGGACCGGTTCCGATTTGAATTAAAAACAGGGCCCTGTAAAAGGTTGATTTGCTTGAAAACCCGAATAAACGCGATTTATATCCGAAAAAATAGTTTCCTGTGGTTTATGTATTGTCCCAAAGTTAATTTCTTTGTTCTGGTATATGGAATTCCCAAATTTAAAGATCAGAAAATTAGTGCGATTGTCTGGCACAGTTATAATAATAACTGTGCCAGACAATCGCATTTTAGTTAGTATTTTGCCAGGTTAAATTGACATAGTCATCCTAAATAATCTCGATTTTATTTATAGTTACAAATAGTATAAAGTTTTTATAAATATATTTTTCTTTGTTTTTCAGGGCCTTAGTCACGCAAAAGCGAAAGAGAATCTTGAAAGGGATGGTCCAAACGCGCTTACGCCGCCAAAACAGACGCCCGAATGGGTGAAGTTTTGTAAAAATCTGTTCGGTGGTTTCGCGTTATTATTGTGGATTGGTGCTATTCTATGCTTTATTGCCTACGGAATTCAGGTCAGTATTATAATCGTCTCTTTGAAACAACATTGTAATACTCTTGTAATAAATATGAAATACTCTATAGCAAAGCGCACTTCACAAATAAGCGCGGTCGAAATTTGTGTAGGAATCGCGTTCGGTGTGTATTATATATAACGTGACCATACGTCCCGTTTTTAAGCTTCGTGTCCCGCTGTCTCCAAAATACTTATAAGTTCGAAAAATGGCGCGAAAACGCTAAATATTGTCCAGCCCACCAGACTACACAAGATTAGTTCTTTTTTCATAATTTTTTATCAATCATCATTTTTAGTTCGTTTTTTAACTTTTTTAATCATTTAACATTTCGTAACTATCTTAAACATGTGTTTTACTTCTGAGAGAGACAGGTTACAGTCATGATACACCATATTATGTAATGACTCGGAATCTCAAGATTAAAGATTCGAGTTACCTGAATATCGTTTGTTATATTCTAAAGTAGTAATAATGAAAGAATAATTGTTTATTTTTGTGACGTAAAATCAGCACACCATAGATAAAAATACCGTGTATAGCAAGTCAATGAAAAAAGCGTACGTTCATAGCTTTCACGTCACTCACTGTCTATTAGTTAATTGGTCAAGCGCTCCCCCGCCCCGCGTCCCCCAAACCGTCAGGAGGGCCAAGTTTATGGCGTTGTACCTGTAACCACAATCTAAATTTGTAAAACTCTGAAGTCAATGTCAACAAGCGCTAAAACAAAAAAACTATTTCTAAAATTCCAGGCGAGTACCGTAGAGGAACCAGCGGATGACAACTTGTACCTCGGCATAGTACTGGCGGCGGTGGTGATCGTAACGGGCATCTTCTCGTACTACCAGGAAAGCAAGTCTTCGAAGATCATGGAATCATTCAAGAACATGGTGCCGCAGTTCGCAACTGTCATTCGTGAGGGTGAGAAGCTAACTCTACGAGCTGAGGACCTTGTGCTTGGTGATATTGTTGAGGTGAGAACGATCACGGCTTATGACACTATTGTAAAATTTGTGGCTTTAGTGAAATGGGGTACAAGTAAAAAAAAAAAACTTTACAAGGAGACTCGAAAAACAGTTAAAGCTTAATAAAATATGATGTTAAGCGTTAAGTGTTTTACGCGTTTTCTTGTAAAGTTGGCTTTTATACTTGTACCCCTTTTCACTAGAGCCACAGAAATATACCCTGGGTGTAATAAGGTTCTACGAACAAAATTACATGATAACTTTTTCATGCCTAAATACAGGCCTACCGCTTAACTGAGTCGGTTCCTAAGCTGCGCGGTGCGGGGATAGTTACTGTTTACTTAACTGATATGTCGATAATTGTAACAATATTTTCCTGACGATATTCAGCAGCAAATTCATTGACATAAGTGTCTACCAGATGAATCAATTCTCACCCCTCATGGAAGAATGACATGAGTGGAGTTACGTTAAAAATTTTTATTGCTCCATTAGATACAGACAAATATAACACATGCTCTCCAATTCGTCGATAGAGTTACAAGAATTGAGTTGATATTTACATGATGATATTGATATGTATATTGGGTCGATAGAGTTGTAAGAATAGGGTTGGGTTGATTCTCCGATAGAGTTACAAGAAGAGGATGTGTGGGTTATCATTTCACATAACAACGATTCGGTATATAATAAAGCCTATTTAATTGATACTTGAAATGAATAAACAAGCCATTTGGCATTTTTTCAATCAACTTGTTATTGAATATCGTCAGAAAAATCTTACTGAAAATATCTCGTGTGCAGCGCGTTATAACTGTTACGTAAACTCTGTCACCTCCTGCACCGCGCAACTACCTTAGGAACCGACTTAGTTAAACGGTAAGCCTGTAGCAGAGTTAAAATTTTCATGTATACATGATTTGTTTCATGTAGTTCGTATTATTTGTACGATGCCAAGAGTTAGGATTTAGGGTCTCCCCTTTTTTCGGGGTCGGGAGATATATAGCCAATTAGATTGCAAAAAAGCCTTTTAAAAACACAATATTAAGATTCACAACAATATGGGCTTGTTGAGAAATTGATAAGCGCTCGATCCGTAGCTCAGTTGGCAGAGCGACTGACGCTGATTCGAGTACAGTGGGGTCGAAGAAATTGTCGACTAGCGGAGTAATTTCGCAAAAATAGATGCTTGTCATGGTCATAAAAACATTATGATATTCAATAAAATGTCTAATGTTTCCGAAAAATGTCACTTTTCGACACTTTATTGAGGGAGCAATATAGTTCAATCATTCATAATCATCCAGAATACAGCCAATAGACGCCGAATATTTGAGTTTTTGCACGGAATTCATTCTGTCAACAAAAATTGAGGTAGGGTGAAGCGGAATGCTTCGTTCTTACTTTTTTTTTAATATCGCACACACTCGACATATGATTGGCGCAATCAAGGTCATAGGGATGGGACATTGTAAATTTTCAATTACGTTTATCTATAAAATGGAATTAATTAATTATAGAAATTGATTATATTTTGAATTATTTCTTTAAAGATTATATTATAATAAAGATGTAGTGGCATTATCTACTCGTAACATAATTTATTTACATATTAAATTAATAAGAAGATAATGTTTTACAGACTAAGTTGGCAAACTTGTTGGTATAAAACATTGTTCTTCATTTCTTCTTACTTTCAGTCCTATTGTTGTGCTGTATTTATACTTGTAGGAACATATTATCTTGATTAAAAAAGTACAATGGATAATATTGACTTCATAGTAAGTAGTACCAAAGTGACAATGTACTAAATAAAAAACCATCTCAAAGTGAATAAAACTTACTATGTAATCTGTCGAAATGGTAATAAATGGGTTATTTGATGAAATGTTACAAAAGTTGATTGCATGCCATGCCAGTAGAAAGTAAATGGACTAATTACTCGTTAAAACAACATAATCGAGACGAGTATTAATTTAATTCGGCACGTCACTAGCTACACTATTGAAGGACGTTAAAAAAGAGACTGCGTAATTAGGCGGCGTTTACGGCTCAGGGACCTGGTCACAACTTACCAAACGTTGTATATATCTGATTTATTAGTCAGATAAGTTGACAGATACCGTTCGTCTGTTATAAGGTGTCTAGAGGCTGTGTAATCGATGTTCATAGTTCAGTGTTTTGTCCGTAATATGACTGATCTATTCCGCAGGTGAAATTTGGCGACCGTATTCCTGCTGACATCCGGATAATCGAGGCCCGTGGCTTCAAAGTCGACAACTCCAGTTTAACCGGCGAGTCGGAACCCCAGTCCCGCGGCTCCGAGTTCACCAACGAGAACCCGCTCGAGACCAAGAACTTGGCTTTCTTTTCCACCAACGCTGTCGAGGGAACTGCAAAGGGAATCGTCATCTGCTGCGGAGATAACACCGTGAGTATCAAAGATTCAAACGACAATAGATAACTTAAATAAAGCGTCGGACCAACATAGTAATACCATAGTCATAAGGCAAGTTGGGTAATTCCATACAAACGTAGCAGCGCCTCTTGTGTGCGTGCACGCCCGCCACGCGTCATGTACGAACACACACATTCGAATAATCTCGCGTCACGAGTCGCACGCGCCGTTCATTAAGGAATTGTAACGTTCGCTCTGTATTTTAAAAATGACATCAAATAGTAGACGTGTTTATTGTTTTGTTTGTGGTGGTTTGAATAAGAGTGACTATAATTCAGAATTGTTCCGCATTTCATTTCTATTTCATAATTATACTATCATAATCGAGATACTAATCTGCGATAAAAGTTGGACAGTGGGGCCGGCACACGACGGACTGGGTGGTGTAACAGTATATTAGCCGTTCCATCGTCGTACAAGCCAAGATACTGTACAAAGTATATTTAAGTAGTCTTAATCTAGGTTAGATGTATAAACTAAGTAGCATTACGGAGCGACATTACTATCTTCTTACACGTAAAGCTCCTTAAATTTAGATTTAAACAAGTAAAATAATCATGTGACAACCCTACACTCCGAGCCAAGTGTAGGCATTGATACTTCGAACAGGCGGGAGTAGTACAAGTAGGGCAATACTTGCCTTATTAATACTATGGTATTACTGAGCATAACCATAAAGCATACTTTTTCTTAAGGAACTGCGGTCACGCAGTATTCGCTTGCAAACAAAACTGAGACTGGCAAGACTTCGCTGATAGTACGTTATGGCAGATTGGCATTTTTGAAATTAATGTTACGCCTGAGTGCCTTGAGGTTGAACCGCTGAAATTCAAACGACAATAGAAAATTTCCTTTAGACAATAGAAATTAATCCTCTCTTTCTTATTTTTTTAAAGAACTCTAGTTCTTTTATAAAATAAAATATACGGTCACTCGGAAACTATATAAAAATTTTAGTTCCTAAAGCTATATGCTTTCCTGAATGTCATGGCATCAGTGCTAATTATAACAATATTCTCTCAGGTAATGGGCCGCATCGCCGGTCTCGCTTCTGGTCTGGACACGGGCGAGACTCCCATCGCCAAGGAGATCCACCATTTCATCCATCTCATCACGGGCGTGGCCGTCTTCCTCGGCGTCACCTTCTTCGTCATCGCTTTCATCCTCGGCTATCACTGGCTGGACGCCGTCATCTTCCTAATTGGTAATATGAAGCTCGCAACTTTAATTCGGTGATATCATGCAAATTTAAATAATATACAGAAGAATTGTTCATATACAGTTGCATTCTGTTTTTGTTCAATTTGTTTAATACATCTAAATAGTGATGGCACAGGCTAGCAAAATTTCGAAGGGATTTATTTTTAGTGAAGATACTGACGCAATATGATTTTCACCTCAAGAAAATGTATTTAATACCTTTAGATACAAACTAGGAACTTTAACACAATTTCCCACTCTAGGTATCATCGTAGCAAACGTACCTGAAGGTCTACTGGCTACAGTCACTGTGTGTCTGACCTTGACTGCAAAACGTATGGCCTCCAAGAACTGCTTGGTAAAAAATTTGGAAGCTGTCGAGACTCTCGGCTCCACCTCCACTATCTGCTCCGATAAGACCGGCACGCTGACTCAGAACAGAATGACCGTGGCTCACATGTGGTTTGACAATCAGATCATTGAGGCTGACACCACAGAGGACCAGTCCGGTGTGCAATACGGTGAGTTGTGAAATCATACATCCATCCATCGACTTAAATTGTTGGTGTACTAAAGACCATTCAGACCATTCAATTTTTTTGGATGTTTTTTAACCTCATACAAAAGAGGTTGTATGAGGTTAAAAAACATTTATTTGTCACGATTTTATGCAAAAAGAACAATTGGCGAAAACCATCCCTTTAAGAAGAAACATTAATATTATGAAATTCTCTAACAATAATAGTTGTTTATTTCAATCCATAGATCGTAGTAAAAAGTGACCATCATACTTTAAAATTGTTAAAGTTATTTATAAAAAAACAAATACGTAAAATCAATAACATTCGTATGTAACTATAAATTAGTACAAAATCTTTAAACAACAAATAAGTGTAATATTACGAACAATTTTGTTCGCAGACCGCACTAGCCCCGGCTTCAAAGCTCTGGCCAAGATCGCGGCTCTGTGCAACCGCGCCGAGTTCAAAGGCGGTCAAGATGGCGTGCCCATTCTGAAGAAGGAAGTTGCCGGTGACGCTTCCGAAGCCGCTCTCCTGAAATGCATGGAACTAGCCCTCGGCGATGTCTTATCCATCAGAAAGAAGAACAAGAAAGTCTGCGAGATTCCCTTCAACTCCACCAACAAGTATCAAGTTTCTATCCACGAGAGCGATGACCCTAGCGACCCCCGCCACTTGCTCGTAATGAAGGGAGCACCGGAAAGAATCTTGGAACGATGCAGTACCATCTTTATTGGTGGAAAGGAAAAGGTAATCTTGCAACTTTGCTATATATGTTTTTTAATTGCAGAAGCAAAGACACAATAGACAATTACGAATACTTGACTAAATATAATAGTAAATTTTGAACCCAAAAAAGCTTTCGGAATTACGGTACCGCTTTGGAGACAGCCATAACAAAAACCTCTTAAAGGTTCTATTTATATTTTGAGTAATAGCTGCACGGCCATTCATATTTTCTTTTTCCCGTGTATCGTATTTAAACAAATGAGAAAGGGAAACATCTGAAATGAATGCCAGGAGTTCATGAAATCTTAAAGTTTGAAAAAAGACACGGTTTAACAATATAATTTCGTCTTTGAGATAGGTAGATGAAGTTGCATGTAAGTAAACGTTGATAGTATGATTTTAACAGAGTTAATTTGCCAACTGATAATTTCTATTGATATCTCGAATTTTTGATACTAGAGATAAAAAGAGCGGTGGTAGCCCAGTGTGAGAAGGATTGCTCTTCAACTGAGAAGTTAACCGTTCGAATCCCTGTATCTGCGACTTTGATTTGTAAGTTACGCCATTTGTAAGTGTTTAGTAGCGATACCTCTTGTTAGCAGTGAAGGAAAATATGGTGATAAAATCTACGTGTCTGAGACTATAAATAAGCCCTTGAAAAACGTTAAGTTGATTATGGTTATATGTAGACATGGAAATTAATAACAAGGCAACTGTATTTCAGGTGCTGGATGAAGAAATGAAGGAAGCCTTCAACAACGCGTACCTGGAACTCGGCGGCCTGGGCGAGCGCGTGCTGGGCTTCTGCGACTTGCAACTCCCTTCGGACAAATACCCCATCGGATTTAAGTTCAACACCGACGACGTCAATTTCCCCGTCGACAACCTGAGATTTGTCGGCCTGATGAGTATGATCGACCCGCCGAGAGCTGCTGTGCCCGATGCCGTCGCCAAGTGCCGGTCTGCTGGTATTAAGGTTTGTATCGTTTGACTATAGAATGAATACAACGTTTGGTAATTTGGGTATGGAACGTTAGGGTGGTTCGTGAAAAGAAACGATGCGTACGGGACAAGGATAGCGGGGGAAGAGAGTGTAATAGGGAGATAGAAAAGGCTATGAATGCAAGACGCGTAGGTTTTAAAGTAGAAAAAAAGACCGTCAATGTTTATAAAATTGTTTGGTTTATTTAGATTAGAGGTTCCCAAACTATTTTGTTTGGTAGACTATGTGCCTATCTAACGTTGATTTTTTTTACAAATTCTCCACTTCCAATGCGTGTTAAAATTGTTAATATAAAGATTGAACAAGGAAAGTTCCTTCGATTCGGCTGGACTCGAACCAGCGACTTCACCATACCGTGGTTGACGCTCTCCCAATGAGACCTTACAAATTTCTCTATGTATTTTTGTAGATTTTTGTTTTTAATTTTAACGACTTTTTTGCCATGATTGAATATCATGATACTAAAATGACGTGATATTCAATGCGCTTAATATTCTAATGTGTATTTAACCGCTGACATAGTACTAGTGATAAACTTTGTAAAATAATTTAAGTTTCAAACATTTATCTATTTGAGTTTGTTGTCAAATGTTTAAGAACTTCAACGGTAATTTATGTATCTATTATGAAAACGTGTTATGTATTTTCACATGACTAATCTGTGTAATGTGGATTATTCCATTTATGGATAATTAAAATTCTGGTCGCGAACCTAGTAATATGACTCTGGAACTTTGTGTATCTATATGTGACAGTATTTGACGTCTTACCTTCCAGGTAATCATGGTCACGGGCGACCACCCGATCACAGCAAAGGCTATCGCTAAGTCCGTGGGCATCATCTCAGAAGGCAACGAGACCATCGAAGACATCGCGGCTAGACTCAACATCCCCGTATCAGAGGTGAACCCTCGTGAGGCCAAGGCAGCCGTTGTGCACGGAACGGAACTCAGGGAACTCAATTCGGAACAGCTCGATGAGATTCTCAAGTAAGTACAGTACATATTACAATAAAATACTTTTTGTAGCGCAGAAGAACAAACAAAAGACAGAACAACGGTCGGCCTCGATGACAAGATAAATTTCGGAAATAATTATAATCAGAGGGTGGAATAAATTCTCATTATATCACACGAAATCAGGATCCAGGAGTGAAAATCAATAAAAACTAAATTTAACTAGAATTTCATTAACTTACTACGAAAATACTTTCCTAACTTACAAAATCAACTTTATTCGCTAATATTAATTTACTCAATCATAAATTAGCGAAAGAAATCCGGTATATATTGCCCCTCATTACGCCCCAAAATACTGCAGCTTCCTTTGCTTTACAATTCTTAGTATTTCCAACTCCTTTCTCATTCGACGAAGAACCTCAACATTGGTGACCTTTTGTACCCACGATAAATAAGTAAATTTAATAAATAATAAAATAAATAACTTTTCTTAGTGTTCGATCTATGTATTAATAATTATTACGAACTAGTGGAGTAACTTCACAAAGATAATTTAATATCACGGTGGTCAAACATCGTGACATTCGACTAACTTAAAAATTGCGAATGAAAAGTTTTTAATGTAACAAGAGGTACGATATCACATAATGACTTACAGACATAGGCTTCAAACTTACAACTCCCCTCTTTTGCGTCGTAAAATGGGTCCAGTAACCATTCAATTGAAAAGACACTACATTGAAATTAATTAATAGCATACGGATCGTTATATGTATACCAAAACAGGATGTGGAATGAAAAAATGTTTTAGCAATCACCATGATCATCAAAGTTCGTACTTTATCAAAGTCTGAAAACCAATTTACATATACATCAGCCAAGGTCCCTTCAAATTATGTGTAAAACATCTGCACATACCCACGAGTCGCGTGATAACACGCCGTTTTGTTACCTTCCGCCCGATTGCCCTATTCTCCGGTCGGCCTTGACTCCTGACATTGGGGTATGGATCAATACCGTTCGACATTGGACTATTGCTTCTCTAATAGACATCCGGTTGTAAACCCACTATGCGGCTTACAATTTCATTTGCTAAATTACAATTATATAATTTGGTGGTTCAATTATTTTTTTATACTTGATTAGGAGAGTTATACAATTTTACATAGACGTACAGAAAGTCTGTTCCAATCTATTGTGCCAAAAAAAGTAAACAAACCGGTTTGGTTAAAATTCTAAAGTAATCACTCAATAAATGGAGCAAGTAACACTTTCACGTATATTTTGAAGATTTCGACTTTATACCTCATCACTTTCCAGCACTATTCATTTAAAATACTTATTAAAATCTTATTTGAAAAATGTTAGTACAAAAGTGAGGTTCTTTTTTAAATATAGATTTGTTAGTAGTCTATGGTTGAATAGGGCTGTATGGAAATAATTCATTCGGTTCATTTAACTAGCTTTTGTAGTCGATTAGTGAATGGATAATTTAATCACAGTCCAACGAATATCTGTACATAGGATTTCAAACAGGATTTAAAATTAGATTTTTCTTATGTAAGAAAAAATTTTTGACCTCATGTATTTATTATTTAAGTATTTGATATCATCACTCAATATTGAATCACATATTTTTTTAAAGTAATCAGCAGCGAAGTCGCAAAACCCATTTTATTATGTAAAACCCAGTTAATTCAATTAAACAAATCGATTCATTCAATTAATTAATCGATCTGTAGATGGCAGTACAGTTGACCATCACTAAACTGTGAGTGGTCGGTTCAATGATCTGTTTGTTTGTTTACTTTTCTAGCAGAATGGATTGGAACAGACTATTTGTTTCATGTAATTTGTATTATTTTTATGACTTTCATATGATGGAAGCACTTTTGGCGCTTGATCACTTGTGCATTTGTTATACCGAGAGTACGATTTATCGATATCAAGATTGAAGTAAAATATCTAATAATTGTACTAACAATAATAAGCATTTAGTTCATACCTGAATCCATGTATATTTAGTAACAGACTTATTAACTGTGTTAGTAAGTACATTAATTACTTTATATTATATTTACATTTATTTAGCAGCCCTAATAGAGGGCACCACATGCAGCGCGTTGAATCATTGAAGGGACCATCAACTGTGTCCGCTAATGTGATCAGGAGGGTGTTCATGCTGGCGCCCACCCGCTGATTAACTTGTCAGTTTCTCATTATGTATTGGAAGCCATCCGTGTGTGGTTCTGCAAACATTATTGATGCGCTGCAATAACGCGGTAGCCCCAACAGCATCCTATTATATTGGACATGTGGGGCGTTATACGCTTTTTGAGTAAATGCCATCCACAGATTGCAGGTGTAATACGATTGGCATTAGGTTTGAAACAGGGTAACCTTCACTTTTACTTATGACGATGTGACCTCCTTCCATCGTCATCCCACCTTTGTCACCTTTTCTCCGGTTCCTGGCCACTTGTTTTTAAATTTTGAATCGTTCTTTAATTCCTTTGTCTCGCCATTGTGATTTTGTTTCGATCCATCGCCACTCCCTGCTCGATCGTCGAAGCAGACACGTCTTCTCGTCGAATTTTTGATCCGTTTACCAGTTACCAAAAATCTGTTGTGCAATAAACATTTAAAAGATTACAAATCAACTTTAAAACATTTTTATAAACCCGGATTTATTTCCACTATTTCTTTTGAATTTTGAACTTTAAATTCGCTAAGCAAAATGTGTGGAGGCTGCGGAAGCGGCGGAGGCTACTACACTCTCCAGGCTACATTACAATCAATAGGACATGCTTATGTGGTGCCACCAGCGCGTGACACGCCTTTTCATACTGTAAATCTACATATCAACATATTATTCCTTGCAGCCAGCGCTCTACGTTCTCTTTCCATGTCCATGTAGTCTTTTAGCTAATATGATGATCCATTTATTTTTAATTATTTGTTTTAGTCAACTCGTTACTTTAGTCGTAACATTAACTGTTGATTTTAAAGCTGGTTAATCGTAAACTGTTCCTCTCACCAGGTACCACACGGAGATTGTATTCGCGCGCACATCGCCACAACAGAAACTGATCATTGTAGAAGGCTGCCAGCGCCTTGGCGCCATCGTGGCTGTCACAGGTGACGGCGTCAACGACTCCCCTGCTCTGAAAAAGGCTGACATTGGTGTTGCTATGGGCATTGCTGGTTCTGATGTGTCTAAACAGGTACGTTTTGCATAGTATCACCCATCATCAAAACTTCACTGTTTTTTTTTTCCAAACGTTGACAGACAAGTCAGTAACTAAAAAACGGCTAAATAAAAGCAAATCGAATTTCGGAAAGGCCAGATTAAAAGTACCAACAATAAACACGCACGTATGAAGAGACTGATTGTAAGAGGATGTCATCCATCCGAAAGAGATTTGTCAGGAACGTAACCAGTGTAGGTTTATCGTCGCTGCCATCCCTAGTTGTAGGTATGTATGTATGTAAACAAAATTAATGAACAATTAAATTTTTACTTCAGTATTACAATTAATTATATCCAGGTGTCGTTAAGCAGTATTTATTTATATATATTTTTTAATACTCCGCTAATTTGTTATTTTTATTGATACAAACACAAAAAAAATCGTTTGATCTGACAGGACTTGATCCAGTGTCTCTTGCCATTCTGGGGCCACCGCTTTTAACCTACTGAGCTTTAAGAGCGACACGGTTAACTGGCACTCGTTCTAGTCCAGTCGAGTCGATGGAATTTTATATGTTGTTCGATCTTTGTATTAATAATAAAAATTGATATTATTTTGTGAATGCAAGCTGCGCTTGTGTTGAGTTTTTTTTTTTAAATTAACCGCTTGAATATTCAACATAAGCGCTATAGTGCACGATTCAACCTCGTGGATTCGCGGAGTAGCAAATTAATTTACTTCCATTTTTATTAACATCGACTTCCGCAAAGTAACGCCTGAATGTATTAATGAAATTATTTCTGCCATGTTGCTAAAGTGAAAATATTATTTGCAAATAACTGGACAATATTGGTTTTAGGCGGCTGACATGATCCTTCTGGACGACAACTTCGCATCCATCGTCACAGGCGTGGAAGAGGGCCGTCTCATCTTCGACAATCTCAAGAAATCCATCGCGTACACTCTCACTTCGAACATTCCTGAAATCTCCCCCTTCCTGGCCTTCATCCTTTGCGATATCCCACTGCCGCTTGGCACTGTCACCATTCTTTGCATCGATCTAGGAACCGACATGGTAAGTTTGGACTTTCGTAGAATTCACTATCTCATTGTTATCGGTTACGTTTATTGGCATGATTCACCAAAGAGCTCATACTGAATGAGAAATTTACTTCACACGTTGAAGGTTGGACCTAGTGTCTACAGCTGCTCTTTTATTTTCTGAAGAATATTTAACAGCTGGCCACCGACTGCGCCACCGAATAAAATGGCCATGTGGTTAAGTAGCGAGACGCCCAAGTGGGCACGGATATCTGCCCAGGACGATACTGGGGACATACTGAGGCGACGAGTGACGGAGTTTATACTCCGCCTTATGTTTGTTTTTGTCTACAATAACGAGTTTATGTCGTAAACATCCAATATATATCCAAGGATATGGAATGTCATTACAAAATTCTCTCTTAATATGACCGCGGTACTGAAGCACGCTGATAAATGTAGCACAATGTAAAAACATTATGTTGCAAGAGCCGTTTCTGAAAGTTTTTAATTATTAATTTAACTTTAAAAGTTAATAATGATTATCCCATTAATTGGTAAAAGATTTTCTTTTGTTATACATTCAATATGAAGTTTTTTAGCAGTCAACGGTAGCAAGAAGTACAAAGAAACAGTAAGATCTTGTAACATTCTGATAATACAAATATATTTGCAAATAATCTCGACGTGTATGTATATTCGACAAATTTTGCTTTTCAAAACTTTCGAATTCTAAATAATTAGCAGCTTTCCATCATTGTTTTACAGTTTGGCGAAATTTGTTGGAATTCTAATTGATTAAAAACATATATGACATGTAAATATAACTAAAGTATGGTTGTAAATCAATTTATAAATAAAATATTTACTGGTGAGAAATAAATTGAAGTACAACTGCGTACATTAAAGTATCTTCCTTAGCATTGACAGCAGGGGAGCAGCTGGACAATTTAATGTATTTTGTATTGAATAAGTGATTGATTTAGGTGCCAGCCATCGCACTGGCATATGAAGCAGCCGAGTCGGACATTATGAAACGCCCGCCTAGGAACCCGTTTTGTGACAAACTTGTCAATGAGAGGTCTCTATAGTGTGTCGATATGTATGCTACCGTGTAACCTTAACTGGATTTCAGCTAACGCCGCGGTGTTGTTTAAATTTCGTGAAGAGTGAATTTGCTACTTAACGGAATTACAGCGCACTGGAGTCGTTTAAAAATAACTTTAAAATGTGCCTGAATACAAACATGCGTCTCTTGCGCTTTAATTTCGTAAAAGAATACATAAAAATTGTGTTACATTTAGACGATGTGGAATCCTGCATGATTCTACTAACTCTAGACTACTAATGCGGAATGCGTTATGAATGCAGACTTCGAAGAGTTTACCTGTTAGGCGAAAATTAATATAGATGTGTTCTGTTTGTTCTAATATCATTTGACGCCAAGCCTTCGCGATCCGACGCTCTGGAAAGTTCAAGTAGATGTTTACAGTTAGACAGACACAACACACTGATGTACATGTCATTGTCATTTCACTCCATCACCATTCGCCACCTCGTGTGACCATCGTGTCCACTCCCGATCATTCGGTTATATTTTACGTTTCACATCCCGGTGAATCCTGTACCTGCCATAGCAGAAGTCATCTCATATTTAAAATTTTTTATGTGTTACCTTTTAATAATTTTTTGTTGTTAGTCTTAAGCATCTGTGTCTCTCCGAGCACGCGGTACGAAAGGTGTCGGATGTCCACAGCAGTGATGTAATGGAGCTAGTTATCTCGTGACGGTACCGCGTGGTCGGCAGGGGTTGTGTATATGTTCGATGTTGTACACATGTGTTAATGATGCACCACGCTTTGTCCGAGTGCGTGCCGAGCGGGCGCGTCGGGTACGCGTGCGCGCTTGCGTACGCAGCCGCCGACCGTCCGCTCACATCGCTAGTGTTTGTGTAGGTGCCCGCCATTTCCCTGGCTTACGAGGAGGCAGAATCTGACATAATGAAGCGACAGCCGCGTAATCCTTTCACTGATAAACTAGTAAACGAGAGGTAAAACACCACGAGCGACACCATCGTTCGTTCAAAGATATTATTATGTACGCTAATGCTTGCTACCACGTGTAAGTTAGTCTTCAATATTGAGGATTGGTTGTTGCCTGCTGTGTGTGACCATGTCCTGTTGGAACACGACTAGCTCTGTGGATATTGAAGGCGACGATAGCACCGCTCCTAACTCTGCCTTGCGTTGTCTTTTCATATTTTTCTGTACTAACGTCTCTTCTTTCGATGTACGTAGTTTGGTGGAGATGGAACGATGCGGTTTGCCAGCACGTCGGCCTCGGCCGCAAGCGCCTCGTTCCATTGTTGTGATTTTGTTCTCACTTATCTTTAACTATCTATGGTATATGTGGTCTGCGTAAGGTAAGTCCGGTGTCTCTCTGTCGCTGTCATTTGTACAACCGCATGCTGTGCCAACACTAACCCTCTTGTTCTTCTATCGTTATTTTATCTTATATATTTTAAGTACTCTCATTTTTTACCTTCATTATCTTCATGCACACCATGACACGTTATTTATTTCACACAGGATCTCGCTATCATTCAGACTTTTTTCACATTTTGACACCTCGAGCCTCATCTCGACACAGAGTTCGTAATACATTACTTAGGCAGGTCTCTCACATTTTTATATAAATATAGGTACTATGACACATAGAGTTTATACATTGAATATTATATATAAAATACAGCTAGGGCTTATTTTGTCACTATCACTAGAGCGTAGCATTTCGATTTTGTACTCTTCTTTTTAAGGCCGGTAAGAAGCTGATTTTTGAATTTCGATCACGCCAGTATTTTTCTACTTTACATTTACTAGCTAATTATAATGCGTAATATAAGTTACATTACTGTATAGATTTATTATAATAATTTCTATCCTATCTCGCTAGTTGTAGATAATATGTACTTATATTGTGCGGCGTAGCCGAGGGGAGTGTACGTACTCGACTCGTGTCGTATCGTGTAAGCCGCGTTGCTACCAGTAAGTGTTGGTTGTTCTGATTGCTTGGTGTTACCAAAGGTGCCTGCTATATCCTTGGCGTACGAGGCGCCCGAGTCCGATATCATGAAGCGGCAGCCCCGGAACCCTTACACCGACAACCTCGTCAACAGAAGGTTGGCCCCGCACCACCCGGCCGCCGCCCGGCCGCGAGTCACACGCTTTACTAGTTACTCATTTGGTGTTAACACACTAGCCCACCACAAAAACTCCACGATTGGTGAGATAAAAAAAGCATTGGAATGGTGCGGCTACTGGTTCAACAATACCATTTGACTGGATGTGGAAGAGTTGTGAAGATCCCCCTTAATCTAGCACGAAGCAATTGGCCCCGATCCTCAATCATATAGCAAAAGAGTCTGAGTGTATTTCCCTCGCAAATGACGCGTAGTGTTGTAAGAAATAGTAGCTCCTTTAGACACCCCACTAATGAAGAAAAGTACCCAAAAGAAAAATTGAATTAGTTTTTTCTATAAAATAGTAGATTTAACAATTTAAACTAGCAAGATATCCTCTATACTAATCCTCTATAGAACTTTCGCCTGTCTCCGATCTTCACTCTTCCATATTTCAAAATTAGCGTGCGAGCTGCATTGTCCGGTGCACGATTAGCCAAAATTAGTACATTGTTTAGTCCTCGTCCTAGAAAGGCACTAGTTGATTAATTGTGTGTTATGTCATTGTAGTGTAGACTTTTCGACATGATAATTAAGTTTTTTTTTCAAAGGAATGACGTAGGCGTCGTGACGTAAAGCGATATTAGTTTTTTATTAGTTTCCAAAGCGGTACGTTTGTTTTGTACATTGTAATTTTATAGTTTATGTAAGTATTTTACATAGTAAACGCACGTTCCTAGACGCGTAGATCACGAGCTACAGGCTTACGCTCACAACACACTACACATGAAATAGGGCTGTTTCTCTCTATCTATTTTTCTTATTTTGCCAGATATATCTTTTAATTTGACGTCATTTGTCACTTGACCCCATGGAAATTCCGACCCAAAGCGCTTGGAAATGTTGTTTATGAAGTAGTTATTTGGGTCGATCCGTATTTACGGCAAGGTGACCTACTTTCTCGCGTTTACCCAATTGATTTGCTTGAGCCTACTTCTGCCTTTTTACCTTAAAGTGTTTGCACAATGGATGTAGCCTATACTTCACATACTAATTCAAAAGATGTATGAGAAAAATTGCATAACCAAGCTTTTATTTAATGATTAATATGAAAATATGATGCAATAACACGTATTCAAACATTTTAGCTCAATCGATTAATGGAAATTAAGTAACAATTCCTTGCGAAATTTAAACTTCAAATTTAATAAATTAAATAAAAGCTTGCAAAGTGTAGACTGACTAGTTTCAAATGAACCACTACACAATGGCGCAAGTAACGGCTGTAAATATCCATGTTTGTGTTCATATATAGTGATATTAGGTATTTATAAAATACGCATGATTGTGATGAGGGCTCGTATCTAACTGGTCAGTTATAAAATCCTGACGTTGTTGATGCGAAAAATTTTAAGATGCGAAGATATTTAAAACAAAAAAATTACTTAATGAAGTTCCCACTTTTTACGCCTTTGCAAGTTGTTTTCGCCTCAACAACAGCCAGGGGGTGTAGTGGACTCACTAGCTTTAAAATTTTAAAAACTAAAGCTATCCTAAAAAAGGAATTCAGTACACTTAATTTCATATCAGAACGACAAAAAGTCCACTTCATTATGCTTGGAAATTTAAACGCTGTTACTAGTCAGTGTCGCCTAACAAAATAGAAATACAAAGTGCTTTATAGAATCATATTTGTTAAAGTAAAAAAAAATGATGAAATCCTTAAGCTAATAATTGTCAAAGAATAAGGCACTTGTAAAATAACTGCTTCAATGCCGACTTACCTTGAAACCGACATGTTATGCCGTTTATCAAATTTAACATAACAAAAGAATGTACATGGCAATTTTGTTTTATACCAGCCCATTACGAGTAGATACGTATCACACCCTTAATAATAAAGTAATTAATTCTAAATGTGACATTTTTAAAGAATTGACATTTATATTACGAACTAAAAGTAACACATGTCGCACCTCCGGTGTAACAGTGTCCTAACCTGTGAAATTTGCATAAAACGAGTTAAAAGCTTTGTGTTTAGTGCCACTGAGCACATTTGAAGAGCTCTTAAATGTTATACTATTTCAATAAGCATTGCTCTCTATGAAAAAGAAAAAGAATACATAATAGTATATGTTTTTCCATATACATTACATTTCAAAAATTAATTGGCATCACTATGTTTTGTATTTGATATATTTGGCAAACAATTACCATGTGTAGATGGCATGTGTGACAAAGTATTTGCCTTCTTTGCCTATTCGATAAATGCGGCAAACACCAAACTGGCGTTACCGCTCGCTGGTTGGTTTCTCGATGCACATCAAAGGAGCCAAAGATGCAAATACGCTAGTAAACCGTCAACACTATGATCATTCATTATTTGAACTCCTTATTTCGCCCCATGTGTAGACGGCCATATTTGTCAGTGTTTGCATGTTTGTCGTACGTTAAACATTTTTCCAAGTACGTACATCAAACACCCAATAACGAATACAAGTAGCCATGTGGAGTGCCGGCATAACGTTTTTCATATCATATTCACTTACATTCACATGGTGTCACTTACATTATTATTTGTTTTTAATCTAGCGTGTCAGTTTTCCAAATATGTTACATTTTACATTTCGTCACTTTATTATTGAGGGTGCCACATGATTTTCGAGCCAATCTGAATATCATAATTTCGAATATTCCCATTGTAGTACTATGTTGCATGACAGTTAACAGTTTTCAATTTCGCCATATGATGAAATAATAAATTATATCTATTGCTATACGTAATGAATAGCAGTCAGAAAAAATATAGAAATTTTAAAAACGGCAAAAGACAATGTCGGTACAAAAATTTCACGCATTAACACGTTGCCAAACCTCCAGGTTGATTTCAATGGCGTACGGCCAAATTGGTATGATCCAAGCCGCGGCCGGATTCTTCGTGTACTTCGTGATCATGGCTGAAAACGGATTCTTGCCGTTGACGCTCTTCGGCATTCGAAAGCAATGGGACTCGAAAGCTATCAACGATCTCCCCGACACCTATGGACAGGAATGGGTATGTTTCATTTGCGTAGTTATTCATAGTGCATACGTCGAACATAGAAAGTTAAATGTGTCGTCAACACATATGATTCTCAATACGTGACTCGCAAAGAGTTCTATTACGACCCCCAGGCGTCCAATCCACAAGTAATCCATGTCAGCGAAAAAAATAGGTGCACGAGATATTTGTGTCGACGAGAGTCGCACACAGTCGTGACTAAAATGTTGGTTTTCTATAAATAGTATATACACAGGTTTAACTACCTCCGTAGCCGAACGGATACCATGCCGAACTGCCACGCAGAGGTCCCAGGTTCGATTCCCGGGCTGGGAGTAGTACATACATAGATACATACATACAGTATACTTAGTATCTTATAATACACGTAAATTGAATTGAATTAAAGATTTTATAACAATCAAGTTATGGGGCTATATTCTGTTGCATAAATGCATAAAACTTAATATGTGTGTTTTTATGGAGTCCTCATGTTTTCGCGATTGTTACATATAGAAAATGAAACTATTTTTCCGAATTTAAATCGCGTATATTTGTTTTTTCAAACAAAAAAACGTTTCCAACGGTCCCGAAACGTTGGTTTGTTTGAAAAAACAAATATACACGATTTAAATCCGAAAAAATAGTTTCATTTCCTGTGTGTATTTTTATGTAGTTTCTTACTATACAGCTAAACTTAGCAACTGAGTAACACTGTATCTGATGTCAAAAACACGTTTGAAGTTGATAAATTTGTAAAAAATCCATATCGACCCTGGCAAGTTAAAATGTCTAACGTGCATTTGGAAAATATTACAGGAGAGAGATTTAAAGTAATGTTTTTACAAAAAAAAAAAATCATAACTCTAATTTTATTTGTTATTATGGAAAAGCTGAAACTTTCTTGTTTTCTACATAACAAATAAAATTTGAGTTATGATTTTTTCCCTAAAAAAAATACTTGAAATCGCTTTCCTGTAATGTTTTCCAAATGCACGACAGACGTGTTACCTTTTCAGCGTCAAAAAACAGACAAAAATGACACGTGGACTCAAAGACAAAAAAGCGTGGTAACCTCTGGTTTAAAGCTTGTCTGTATACAACACAACGAGTTGGATGCTTCACATATTTTCATAACGTTTGTTGAGCATTTCTGCGTGTATGAGAAAGATATGCCTTTCACTGTCCAAGCAAACGAAAGTGAGTTTAACATTATGTCTCAGGGTGATGATTCTAAAATTCTGAGTGGTACTGCAACGGTCATGGATAGGCGTGTCGCTTACTACCAGACGCACGACTTGTTCATCCCAATTACACCCAGCGTTACACTTTGTTTACAGACCTACCGTGATCGCAAAGCCCTCGAGTATACCTGCCACACCGCGTTCTTCGTGTCCATCGTCGTAGTGCAGTGGGCCGACTTGATTATCTGCAAGACTCGCCGCAACTCGATTGTGCACCAGGGTATGCGCAACTGGGCCCTCAACTTCGGCATCATCTTCGAAACGGCGCTCGCGGCCTTCCTTTCTTACACGCCTGGTATGGACAAGGGACTGCGGATGTATCCCCTTAAGTGAGTGCCACCTGTATTCCAATGATTCTTTTTTACGGTTAAGTTAACTTTTAGCAAATGGTAATGCCGCAAAATGTGTATTCTCAATAACGTTTCTGTTTCGCTCAGGTTCGTGTGGTGGCTGCCTGCCATCCCGTTCATGCTGTCGATCTTCATTTACGACGAGATCCGGCGCTTCTACCTGCGTCGCAACCCGGGCGGCTGGCTCGAACAAGAGACTTACTACTAGGCTGCACCCCCCACTGTCCACGGCGTGCATCAGTTAGTTACTGCGTACATAACGTTCATTTGTGTTCTATATCAGACTGACAGAGGTTGCGGTGCCGTCTCGGTATATGTGTAATCGCTGTCGTGTACTGTACGCTTCTCACCGCTTGTTACCGCATCGCTCCCGCAGGGCGGCCCTTATGTATGTACCTGTCAATGTTATCCGTTGTTCGATGTTCGTTTTCGCGTGACGTGACGGGCGGACGGCCGCGCCACAAACACATTATGTTTAACGAACTATGTATGTATATATGCACAGTGGAGAATGAGGTTTGATATTTGTGATGAAAAAAATTATTATACACATATTATTGTTTAAAATCGTGAATCATGTTATTTTTGTATTAAAATCTTTTAAAATGTAATTTGAGTATTAGAATCGCGTCATGAGACACTCGGAGAACGTTGGGAGCGCCGTCGGGCGGCGGGCCGCGGCCGCTCGGGCCCGCCGACTCAGACCTCATGTTCAGCAGGTCGCCCGTACACCACGATACACATAAGATAGCATAAATACTAATAAATTGTTTTCACATACTTACGTTGTAAGCGAAGGATCGTGTTAGCACTAGTGGGTCGTCCGCTCCTGTTGGCGAGGGCCCGCCGCGCGCCGTGCTCGGCGGCCAACGAAAGCATTTGTTGTAAAATTACAGTTAAGAGCCATTATTATTATTATTATTACATTTTAAGTGGAAGTTTAGATTAAGTTGAGTTTTTCGAGTGAATAACGTTTAGTTGACGATTCGATCGGATGCGTGGTGTGTGAGAGGTCGATGTGGAGTGCCTGAGTTTTAGTGTACTACTGCTTACTGTTAGGTAGGTAGTTGAAATTTTGACGCCGTATTTTCAATTGTAAAAGTAGATAATAAAGCATACACAGTCGCGAACGCTTAGTGGTGCGCGCGCCGACACGTTGATCAGCACTGCCGCCGTCGTGTCCGGCCGCCGGCAGCGGCCCCAGACAGGCCGGGCCTCGGCCCGGACCGCGACACGACGCTTTTCTTTTCTAAAATAATCAGATTATTAGATTTCGTCAAATTTATTAAATAGGCTGCTCATGGTAATTATGTAAGATTTTAATTTCTTAATTAAAAGATAATAACAAAACGTAGGAATGCGTAATTAGCGATTTTTAAAATTATACAGTTATGATAGAGTCATTCTTGTTTTAGTCGCCACTTGGCTCTTCTACGAGTGCGGTCTTGTGTAATTAGGGTAGGAAGAGGCTAGGGGCAGAGTGGGGGCGCGCAGCGGCGTAGCGGTGGGCAGAGCGGAGCGTAGCAGCAGTGCCCGCGGCGCCACTAGCCGAATAGGAGGACCAAGTGGAACGATTCATTTCAATTTTTCGTAACGAATACATATAACATTATAATAATGGTTACAAAAGTAAAATATAACATTATAGCGACTAATAAATCTAAATTATATGAAATGTTTATAGATTTAAAATGACGTTTGTTTCTTTAGAGTGACCTTCTGTGCTTGTTTTATGGGAACGATGTACATCTCTGACAATAGTCGTTGATCACGATGATATTAATACGATCTGATCTTTGTAAGCGTTTATTTACCCACACCGTAGAACTAACATTGTTTTGCGTTCGACAGTAATTTACACCGATTCATTTTATAGTATTACTCTGTTGGCTAGGAGCGCTGTAAAAATGTAAGTGTTAATAAAAAAAACATTTTCAAAATATTATTGCGATGTTTCATTGTTCTCATTTTGTTTATTTCGACCTTTTTCTTTGTTTTTTTTAAGTCCATAAATAAGTTAATTAAAAATAAGAAAAATACAAGTCAACTGAAATCGGAAAAATTCCAATATATAGATTTCCATTATATATAAGTCATTTAACACACATTTTAAACTCCTTAAGGATTTCAGTGTCTCACTAACTGTTTGTACCTATTTGTTATAATGTATGAATATGAAGTAAATAAATAGTCTGTTTAAGTTTAAGTATGCTTTATATAAAGCATATGAAAAACGAAAACAATAAACAAGCAAAGTACCGTCTTTGAATTAGGGCTGTATCGCGCAGAAGAAATAAAAGCATAGAGCAATGTACAACACGAGCCTGTAACACGTTCCATGACTCCTTTTGTAGTCGCACATTTTCTCCAATCAAACGTCTACACATCACGATGACGCCCTGACTAAATGTATTTTCTCTAATGCACTTGACCATGAACCGTAGTATATATTATAACATACTACGTATTATAAAACACCAGTAAGGACGCAGCATTGAAGCGTGCTAATTAGTAGGATCACTTCTATTCGAGTCGCACGGGATTCATGATTGAATGACGAATATTTTCAGACGTCTGAGTAAAGACTTATGAATAATCTCCACGTGTATGAGTAGTATATTTCGATTATATTTTTTATAGGGAATGAAAACACCAATACTTGTTGTGTGTTGATGGAAAGGGGAAAGCGGAATTATTTGCAATTCCATTGCATATCCCCGTGGTATCCCACATGACAACTAACCAAGTATTATCTCAAGAATTGCGTTATATATTTATGTTATTCGTATACGATTTCATTTTAAAGTGACCCCGTTGTCTTGTAGAATACTGATAAGCGGGCAACTTTACGACGGAGTTCAAGGCAATGCAGCTTCGCCTCTAATAAATTCAAGTCATGTCTCTTGTCATGCTTCTCAAGTAAATCCAAGGTGACCAGTTGGTATTTAGCATAGAAGGCATCAAATGCACTGTCATCTGCATATTTGAGGCATTCTGTACTGTGAACACGTCAAAGCGCTTTTGCACAACAACATCGTAAGGCAAGGGACAAAACAAGCGGAATATTGTGAGCAATTTTATTTGGTCATGACTAATAAATAAAGAACGATGTTTGGGTTGAATTCGGTCGCGAAATTTAACAGTCCGGGTGGCTGGTTCCCAGTATGCCAGCCATATTTGATACCTGTATGCTATTAAAGTTCTGGAGTCTATTACGGATAGGTCAACGGATGGCTGGTGACCTTTAAATCTCTTATACATATATTTTATTAAATAAATAAATAAATAACGCACACACTCAACATAGCCCCACACTAGGGAAACCCTGTGTCGCGGGTGCCATGGACACACACATAGACAACCACAAATTACACCCAAACTCACGAGAGAAATAAATGTAAGCCATACAAACATTTCTCCCGGCCCGGGAATCGAACCTGGGACCTCTGCGTGGCAGTCCGGCATGGTAACCGTTCGGCCACGGAGGCAGTTACAAACAAACAGTTTATTATAATATATATGTAACAAAATATTTAATTATTATTATTTTTTTTTATTTATTATTAATATTTATTATTTATAAATAATGTATCTATGTCTGAAACTATCAAATCAATACACAATAATGTCAAAAATAGCATGTATGGGCACGCTCTACATTTTTATGCATTGCTATTTTTACCTGTATAACGTTTAACATGCGTCAGCTATAAGTTGTTTGAAATAAACCTTCAAGACGAACACACGTACACATAAAAATATTTTCTTTCTACAAACAAATAATTAACATTAATAACAAGTAAGTAAGGGTCAACAGCACATTATACCCCTTATATAGCATTTCGACTAAAGGCTTCGAGAGGGTTTTTTTTTTGTCATTTTCCAGGTTAATAACATAAAAAGATAATTTAACTTTGCACATTATAAATACACACATAAAAAGTGACTAGGGATCAAGCACGTGTTTTGCCAATTACATATTGAAAATCTATTTTTTTTAACACTGATGGAGTTTTTTGTCAATTTTATAACTTGAATTTGAAAATGAAATTGACTAAAAAAATTCATTGATGTCCAAAAAAGTAATTAAAAAACCTGATTTCCAGTAATTAGCAAAACCGTGCAAGTTGAAAAATACGCTGTTTATTGTAACGCGAATAAATTTCTTTTGCCTTGATAGTAGCTGAAAGCTTCTTGATGTAGGGAAATTACATAACACTGCGTTGTCTAAATTCGTAAGCCTCGTACCTCCATTAATGAGTAGGCACAAAAAGAGGATTACTGCAACAAAATAGATAATTATACTATATTTTATGACAATCTAATGGTTGGACCTTTGTTTTATAAGGGTATAGAAATTAGATAAAAAGTAATTTCGTCCAAATACGGAGTTACGAGGTTTTCAAATTTAGCCGACGCACTATATGGGACTTGCAGTGTTTTGGTTCGACATGGTAGAGCAAGTGTGTAGCAATTTTTTGTCATCACCGTGAATGAAACTGAAAACCAGCCGTCGTAACAGTCACGTGCATTTGCCTCAAAAGACGGATAAAACGCAGAAGCCTCGCAACATTTTTCATGGAAGGAAAGGTGCTTGTGTGCGGCCACGAGGAATCGCCCGTGCGTTAAATGTACGAAGAAAATTACGCAGTCAGTTCTGTTGAAATGTGTACCCGTTTTCAAATTATTTTAATGTAATATCATTTCCAAATTATTTATTTATTGAATATCACCGACATTTTACTGCTATGATATTCAATTATTTTTGTGAAATTGCTTCACAAGTTTGTTATAAATATTAATAGAAAGATCGAACACAAAAAAAAATTATTTATTTCATTATTTATTAAATTTACTTAAATATAAACTACAGTGAAGACTAAAATCATTAGTTATACAGAACGTAAATTTCCATGAGTCAGATTACATCAAGTTTGACACTTTAGATCGTTCTAATCTTATGTGATACAAAGTTGAGTTTAAATCTCAAACATACTCTTGAGCCTGTACTAATTTAAAGAATCAATAGAAAAGAACAACAAAAATTCAATATAAATAATTCAAATAATCAAAATATTTTTTAAACCTGTAATAAGACTTAACTGTACTATTGATTATAGAGCTAGAGCTATACAAGGCGTATCACTATCTCTGTCAAAAACTGTAGTATCTGAAATTTATTATATGGACTTAAAATTTTCATTAATTATCATGAATCAATCAATGTTTACCATGTCAACCCTATATATGGATTGTATTCACATTGTATCGACATCATAATATAAAAAGCATTAGGTAAGAAAAAAGAAATAGGTAAGTTATTTGAGACAAACAACGTGAGTTATGTGTAGGGAGCGTGAGGGAATGGGAGCCTACTAAGGAAAATTGATAATAAAGTCATAATTTATGCAATTTTAATTTTTATTACTTATGAACGTACGCTTCACATATCTGGGTACTAGATAATCACAGCAAAATTTGAAACTAAAATATAATATTTGGTTAAAAAGAAAAAACTAAATCATGTCATTCGCTCCCATTACCCCACAGTTCGGGAAATGGGAGCCGGTATGAATCCCGTATGTCAAATGGGAGCCATTATATATAATCAGCCTGAAAAAGAAAATTAAAGTAATAAAATATATAAGTTAAAAAGTAATCAAAATAAACAAGAAAGTATTAAAGAAATATCCAGTGAATATTGCAATGGGATGAGGAGAACCAAATAGCTCTCATTACCCTCGTAACATCATAATTGAAAAAGGAATAAAACAGTAAAAACATTTCTATTTTTATTGTGATTTCAAGCATAACTTCTAAAAATTGATAGATATGGTGACATAGCTAGTGTAAATACAATGTAGTATCTATGCGTTTTAATGCTTACCTGGGATTATTAAATTTGGCAAATTTTGTGAGCGCGGAGCGAAAAACATACAACCATATCATACGACTAAACGCGGCGTTCTACGGGGGCGCCCACGGGACTTGAACCTTGTAGAATGTTAACGAAGACATAGGACTGCCATTTGTACAAATACGTGCATTGGGAAAGTCCAGTTTAACACCGCTGTCATTACCCGCGAGCCCCCAATACCCCACGTTCCCGTATATGAAGTTAAGCAGCGTGGTTCTTTTTAGCTATTAAAAAGTTACTTATTTAGGGTTGGTACCCTGAAGGACTTTTATTTTCTCCGTTTTGGTTTGGTATATTGCCAAGATCTTTTGTGAGCGAGTAAAGGACACGTCTGGTGTTATACCTAAATACATAACTCAATTTCACTCGAGATGTGGGTTGGTTCTTGTTTGCATAACTATGTCCAAGTTATGTAGCGAACAAGTCGTGCGCCTGGTAGTAAGCTACACGCCAACCCATAAGGCTGCTAACAGATTGACTACATTTTTGTAGTTAATGCGTGAAGTCGTAATCAATTTCATGCAGTCGAGGTCTCGGTTAACGACTGCACGCATTAACTGCATGTATCCGACTTGACTTCATGCAGCCGAGATCGACAGTCGTTGATTACGACTTCATGCATTACTGCAAACATGCAGTCAATTTGATTAAAGTTCTAAAGCTTTAGACCTCAAAGATCTGAGGGGCACTGCCACTGTTTTTTATTAAAAATAAGGGCGCATTTGACCTCCATCTCACCTGATGGAAAGTGACGATGACTTCACCCGTCATCCTGAGTCATAAAGTTGACAAAACCTACTTGTAATTTCACCAGCACCCTTACTCTTATAACAAATCAACATTTCTCTCGTCATAACATTTTTGGATAGAGGGATTTTTTCCGAAAAGTCATTGTTTATTTGTTTCTATTTATCATTAAATTTTTGGGAAAGAATATATTCCCAGATAATTTGGAACTTACGCCG